GATCAAAACTTTAAAGGCAAGTCAGCAGATGTGAAAAATGTAAATCTTAGGTAAAGTACGCAATCAACAAAGGCAGAGAGGTGTTTGCTGTTGTTTGTGGTGTGCGTTTGTTTTGCTTTGCTTTCCAAATGAAACCTTTTTAATGCTCCCTGACCTGTAAACACCATTTTTAACAGAATGCAGGAAATAAATTAATATTAGAAGTAAAAAAATAAATCTGAAAGTAAACTTGAGGAAACAGCCTCTTCAGCAGAGATGTTATTTTTTGATTCTTCAAAAGACATGGGCAATAATCTGGCAAGCAGCACCGTTACAGTAAGCCAATGCTCTTCAAAGCTAATTTTGGGTAGTGCAGTGTGTCAGGTCTCTTATTTGGACATTGTGTATATCCTCCAAAGGGAAAGTATCCTCCTAGGATTAACACTTACACAAATGAAATATTTCCCTGAAGATCACACTTAGAGCTTCCTTTATAAGGCTTCTAAATAGAAATGGTTGTTTATCATGTTATTAAATTTCTTCTCCCCCTCTCCCCCCTTTTTTCTCTCTCTCTCTCTCTCTCTGGATTACATTTAGCAAAATGAAAACTTCCTGAAGGTAATTACCTGGCTGCAATTCAAGGCATTCATAAACCTCACAGCTCCCTTTGGTGGGGGAAGGAGCCACAAGACCAGGACAGCAGCTTTGAGATGCCCAACATCCCAAGGACACAGCTCCTGATGGGCTCCACCACACTTCTCCCTTAGGCTTCCACTCACTCCCGGTTCAGTGCTTGCCTCTTGTTTCATATGAATTTGCATTTGACCCATTTTGTTTGCTCTCCTGGGGCCACAGGAGTCTGGCGTAGGCCCTGTGTTTCACAGTACACGCTGCTTCTTGGACTGATTTCCCTCCCCCCAGAGCTACTGCATATCATCTTCTATGTAGATGATAACATGTTTGGTGCAGCTCGGATGCTTGCAAGTGCTGCAGCATGCAGGGGCTCATCACCTCTGCAGGAAAATAGTGGCAAAGGTAGAGCAATTTTGCTGAACCCCATCCTAGTGAAGAGGGATGGCAAAGCCAAAGTTTCCTTTAGGATGCAGACAAGGTTTTTTTGTTCCATCTCTGAAATTTTGTCTTCTCTGCAACTCTTTCTTCTCTTTTCAAATGATAATATAAAATGGCACCTGTGTTTGGAGGACTGTTTGTGTCTATGGCAAGTGTACGTGCATAGGTGGAGTATTTCTAGGATAAAAGATAAATAATGTCGGTATCCCTTCTTTAGGCATTAAACCCATGTGCCTTATTACACAGAAAAGATTACACTTACACTCTCGTCTGAAACCAAAATAGCTGCCATCTTCACAGTGCCCAGTAAGCTATTAACTAAGCATGTAAATGGACAATGTAGGACAGGAGACCTTCTTTTGGGATAATGTATGCAATTATGAATATGTAAGTTAAGTTCTCATGTTCTGTTCTGACCTCTACTTACTAAAACGCTGACAAGGACTCTTGCCTTCTGACTGCAAGTCATGCTTTTGATGCATCCAAAACATTAACTACAAATCTAAATCAAAAATGAAAGAACATAAAACAGTTGGAGGACAAGGAATCCTCACCTTCTACTTAAACAGAAAAACAGAAAACTGTCAAGTTTTCAGAGTTAAAATTTTAAAACATGAAACAAGTATGCTAATGGTTTGTGGATCTTGAGATAAACAAATATGCATCTTTTTAGGTTTTTATGCATTTCACAGAAATCTTAGGTTTTCCCAATCAAATTAAAGACTTTTACAGGTACGAAATTATTTTTAATGACCTGAACATAGCAGTACAGTGGTGCAATTTACTGTACTCTATAAGGCCTATGAATATTTTTCTTTGCTTAACTCACTGTAAGCTTGATAAAACGCAAAGATTAATGACAAGACCTGTTCTATGCCAGAGTTCATGAAGAGGAAAGTGGGATTTACAATGGAAAAACATGCATATCTTGCCTAGCTTTTCAATAATTAACTTCAAGGAAATTCAGAACTTTCCCCTGTGATTTCCCCGAAAGAAAGCCTGAGATGCTGCAGGCAGTGTCCCAGAGCATTCACATGCCAATGAAGAAATACTCAGACAACAGGATATGCTCATGCAGGCCTGGCTGCCACTGCTGCCTTCCTCCAGTATTCAGATAACCAAGATAGCTAACATTAGGTAAAGACAAACAGAAAACAAGAGTCTGAAGAGTAGGAGGACAAAAAAGAAAAATAATCCACTTTCGTCCCACGCAAATCCAGAGTGCCCACACTGAGCGCTGGCTCCACTTTGCAAGCTTTGCATCTGAGTTATTTCTTGAACTGGCAGCTAGAAAAGAAAGGTCTTACGACAGCTTGGTTTGACTTCGTATGAAGATCACATTACATTGGATAAACTGAGTGTAATGGTACACGATAGGGGCAGGTACACGCGGGAGCGGTGCACAGTACAGTTGGGGTTCTAATGCTCTCCCTTGCATGCTGGCAGCAGGGTTTCATTATCAGCCTCCATTTGCTGACAATCAGAAATCTAAGCCAAACAACAAAAATTTCCATCAAAGAATATTTATAGGGCAAAAGGTTAACTAATTTGGAAAGCTGTTACTGAACTGCAGAACATGACTGGGAAAGAAAATCTGGAAAAGCTGAGAAGGCTGAATTTTGATGCAGACCAAATTCTGGAAAAAAAGATGCCAAAAAAAACCAACCTCTCACACTTTTATTATTTTTTGTCTTTAAATAAAGGCCCATAATGTTACAGTGAAGTGAATATGTGAAAACACATTTTCACACTGATGAAAGTTTTAAATGATGAGCCCTAGACAGAAATACTTACATTCATACTATGCTTTGAATCTAACAGCTCAAAATCATGGAAGCAACTGAAAATTCAGGTTGATTGTATTCTTAATACAATGTTGGTAAGCCCGATGGCTTGCCATTGCCTAGCAATTCCTGGTGTGCAATGACTAGTACTCCATGTTTCCTGAATACTGAGAGAAGAATACAAGTTCCAATGCTAATTTCAAACTTTCTGGATTTTCAAGTACTTGGTCACAGTGCCTAAGTGCTATTATGTTGTTTTTCCATACATTAAAACAAGATTTAGGTTCATATGGGAATGAAAATGATAGACTTGTAAATGAAGATAACAGAATTAATAGGAAAACAGTTGTGTTTCTAACAAATGCAAAGGATTTCTAGGAAGGATAAGAGAAGACAAGATTTCAGGTTCCCAGGATTTTGATGCAAAATTCTGCAGAGGGCCTGCAAGAAGACCTCCTCCCAACACCAACTGAAGCTGCTCTTTTGTCTTTTTTGCCAAGCTATGCAGACCTTACAGCTTAAAACTGGAATACCTACACAGCTACAAACACCCACACCATGGGGTGCTTGATCTCCATGCTGTAATGGAGTTTCCCATGCAAAGGTCATGGCCTGCAGCAGTATGAGACTCGCATGACTCACCACTGCAAAAGCACTCTCCTTTTTCCTCATCAAACCTTACGTTTGTGGGCAAGAGCAGTGCCCAATGTACAGTACCTAACAGGCCTTCTCTGTAAGCTCATAAGACATGCTTTGTACAAGGTTTTCACCAGGAAAATACTAATGGGCTGAAATCTAAAATTTTCTGGAGATATGCATCAAGTCTTTCCGGCTATTTTCCTGTTCTTCCACTGGGATTTTGAACGAATGTGCCTTTGGCTAGTTGCAAGAGCAAGCAACTTTGGCTTGCTTTATAGGGAAAAGGAGGTTTGCCACTCACTGAGGTCAAGGTGGATCATTGTATTAGATGATCTTAATGGTCTTTTCCAGCCTCGAAGATCCTATGATTCTGAGGTGTGAGCAGGGCTGTCTCTCTCTGTACCTTCCTTACCACACACATGGTAGTGTAGAGAACCATGTCCTAGAAAGAAAATGCTGGAAAGGTCTGATGAGCAGAGAGCCATCATTGCATCACCTGGCATCACCAACTTTGAAAGAGACTCAAAAAATGTAACAGAACCAAAGTCCAAGAGACAGAAAGAATCATGAATGTATCGTAACTAGCTTGTGTCCTCTCCAATTAATGAAGAGTCAGGCAAATTGGACTGCCTACAGACAGAGAAGCCTGTCTGTCATCCCCCAGCCTGTCCCCCACCTCCAGGGCCAGAGACAGCACAGAGATCTGTCCCAGAACTGGCTCTGCTGCCTCTTCACAATCACTTCACTGAGGCCTGGGTCCTAACCACGAAGCAAGGAGAAACAGTGATGGGGAAGGAAAGCCATGGGGTTTTGCAAAGTGGAGACACTGGGCTTGGTACATCAAGCCTTCTGGAAGGGAAAAACATCCATGGTAAAACTGAAGTTTAACATACTTTAACCTACCCTGTCCCACTACATGCTGTCTTCTGGGACTGCCCTTCACCCATGCAGTAGCCTTGAATTATAAAATACCTCTGACTAGGAAGCCTAGCTCACATTAGCAGTCAGTTTTGTCTCACCTTAGCAAAAAACACCTAAAACATATGGATACGAATGTTTCTTTGACATGCATACCTTCCACAAACACTAATCACATACCTACTATGAATCCAACAGATCTGTTCTGAGCAGGGAGCTTTGTGCAAGCACAGCCTAATGCACTGTGTGGCAAGACATTTACAACAGGAGCAAAGCTTATCTCCAGATCTGATCCTTTCAAGAGTCTTTCTTCCCAAAACTAAACCAAGATGCACACCCTCCAATGGATACAATCTTCTGACAGAACATGAATGCTACTGTATTAAGTTCCTTCACACAGCACCTAACACACTCAGAGTGGTCAATAAACAACAACGTGCTGCACATGATCCAACAGCACCGCCAGCACCGCAGGAGACACAGACGTAGCATAAAAAGCAAAAAATGTCATATCAAGGATAGCATTTAAAATGTCTGTTTCAGTGAAATTGTATTCTTTGGTGATGTCACAAGCACATAAAGCAAAACCACCACCCCAAAGTGACTCACCAAGTGTTTATTTCACCAGCCTGGGACAACAGCACCTGAGCCTGCCAGCAGCCCCAGGCCACTCACCCCGTCTCTACCTGCAGGCAGCAGAACAGACACACGGCAACCAGCTGCTCAGTTGTACTCCATATCACTTGCTTTCAGCCTTCCTGAACTTCCCACTTCTTCACATAGGAAAGCAGAAGTATGACACTCACTGTATTCTTTTTCCCCTCAGTAGCAAAGTTTAGCACTTCTGAGAAACAGCCAGAGTAACGCTGTTTCAGAAAGTGCAAGTGATCTGCGCTATCTTCCAGTCAGCCTGGTAATATGTTACACCCAGAATCCTATTTAGCAGTTTACATAATTCACAGTTTCTCTGGTTACACACTTTGTAAAATATGACATCCAGCTGGGAAAGCTGGTCTACTTTATTGTTGTACGCTTGCTTTATATCATCCAAATATCAATTAAAGCAACAACAACAAAACAACTATAGGGCAAATATCTTCACATTTTCACTTGTATATACACAGACAAAATGCTTGCTGTCATTCAAAGGGGAAAAATATCCTTGTCTGAAGTGTAAACTGACTGTGCAGTGCTAGGAATCACGTATAATTTAAAACAAACAACAACAGAAAAAAAACAACAAATAAACTTGAAAAGTGAACAGACACTTAAATTCTACATCAGCTGTTTTAACGGTGCAGTTCTTCCGAGAAGTGAAATTTAATCAGAACATGTTGTCAAATAACAGAGCTATATCCCACAAAGTCAACACGATGACATTTTAAGAATACAGCAGATACAGAGCTTTTACTGGCATATATGCACTTAGCAAATATTAGAAAAATCAATCAGAAACAAAATGCAAAACTCTGAAATGAGCACATGCCTTGTGTTATTCATTTCCAATCCTAATTGTTTGATTTAATTCATCGGGATTTATATATGCACCAGTACACTACTGAAGCAGCTAAAATTAAATACATCCCATTTTTTTCCCCCAGAAAAGTAATGGACTTTAGCAGTCATTTTATTGCAGTGAGAGATATTAACAAACAATTCTGCTCCTAACTCCAGGTTATAATGTAAGTGGATCAATTGATCACTTGCAAAAGGCAAAGTTTTGCTTGATGCTGAGGGCAAACCACATCAATAAAGTTCTGACCAGACCATTCATTATTTTCAGTAGAAATCCAGTCACAGTCTAAATACCACCCAAAGTATTTGCTCTGATTTGTGGTCCATGGAAACAAACAAACAAAAAAAACATTTTACCATATAAACAGGAAAGGCCATGGACTGAATCTACTCCTGTGTTGCACCTAAACCATGCTGATCTATAAGAACGTACCAAACCTGCTATGGAAGATTTTACCACTCAAAAAATAAAACACAAAAAGAGGAAAATGCATGTGCCACAAGATTTACCTGCTTGGTATCTGCTATTTTTCATGCCTAGCTCTCACGGCTCTCACGACAGGTTACAAGAGTAAGCGAAGTGATCTGTAACTGGAATAATGTTAAGTAGGGCAACAGAGAAAGTCAGCAGGTTATTCCACTGGAAGAAACTGCCTATAACATGCACTGGATTAACAAACAGTACTATTGCTTCAGGAAAAAGTAAATTTGATACCCCCGGGGGGGGGGGGGGGAAGGGGGGAAAGAAGTTTAATTAATTAGTAGGGTCTACCACCATGCATTTAATGCATGCAAAACCCTAAGGTCTGTATTTAAAGTTACATATATGTATTACGTACAAACAAAGCAGTTTAGAGGATAAAAACTGAAATCAGATCAGGGAGAAAAACTGTGCTGCATAACTCAGGGGCTAAAATCACTACAGAAGAGTAACAGCTAATGAAATATTTACAAATCAACATTAATATCATTAGACTTCAAAGGACATCACCTTCTCAGCATCAGCTTCTTGCACTGATCATCTGCAGTAAGCACTCACACCAGGTTGTTTTCAGGAGCTTCTTTCCAACCACACCATCTCAAATCAAAACACCAGTCCTCTAAAAGCCATGAACCACCCTTGCAAAGATCTGTTCTGCACCTTCTCAAGTCCACTCCTGGATTTCTCATGAACTTTGTCAATGATTTACTATTTCCGTGGGATGAATAGGAAAGCGCTTAAGAACAAGAAGATATTACACACTCACAAGGAGATAAGAGGCTTTGGAACATGAACATTATATTATTTGCAAAACCTTCTTCCAGATCTTACATATTCTGTTCATTTACATGACAGCAAATGGTAGAACTACAGTAAACATTTTGTGTTGCATTATTTTGTGTAAGAGCTTGACATTTTTATTTTCTCTAAGGAGAAGCACTGCCTATATGCTCTCTAGTGGATGAACAGGGTTTTTACAAGGTCCCTCCTTTAAATGTGATCAAATACAAATTGCTTTTATTCTGCCAGTATCCCAGTCCAAGATTTTGTGTTTGTCTAGCAACAACGACACACAACCAAAGCAGGACAGAGAGCAGCTCCTCCTCAATTTCCCTAATGCTTCAGGTGCTATCTGTGCCAGGAAAGTGAGAACACCACAGAAACTCTTATCTGAACATTGGCAAGGACTATGCGTGAATGGACGATCATGAAATTCTTTTCATCCACACTTTGAAACTGATGTTCCTGTAATTGCTATCCACACGTGAAGTCTTTCTGAGGCAATGCCACAATTCCTTCCAGTATTTGAAAGGAGCATATAAACAGGAGGGAGAACAACTGTTTACGAGGGCGGATAGCAATAGGACAAGGGGGAATAGTTTTAAACTAAGATAGGTGAGGTTTAGGTTAGATATTAGAACGAAGTTTCTCCACACAGAGAGTGGTGACACACTGGAACAGGTTGCCCAAGGAGGTTGTGGATGCCCCATCTCTGGAGGCATCCAAGTCCAGGCTGGATGTGGTTCTGGGCAGCCCAGTCTGCTGGTTGGCGACCCTGCACAAAGCAGGGGGCTGGAATTGGATGATCATTGTGGTCCTTTTCAATCCAGGCCTTTCCATGATCCTATGAAATTCATGAGCAACTGTACCATTTTGGAAATCAATATCCTGTCCTGCATTTCAGGATACCAAACTCCCATGGTACGAATGCACCCAGCAGCATTCCATCCCTGGCACCCTGCTGCCCAGAAGTCCCAGCTATAAGGAAAGAGGCTATTGGCAGATTGTTTCCCGGAATTACGTCATTTTTCCAGGCTGAAAGGGTGATGGGGAGGGATGCGAGACAACTCAAAAGTTTAATATAACTAAAACCTACCATGATTTCAGAACAAATTTTGCATCCCTGTGCAGATTTATCCCTTTGCAGGAAGAAAATGAGCCAGCATTCAGCACGCTCAGATTTAGAGGTCAGTGCTAAGCACTGCTACAAAATCCTTACCTTTGCTTTTAGCAATTTTTGAATAAATCAAATGCAATTGGCAGTTGGGGTGATGACCTCTCATCAACACTAACTTAAAATGAGCTGCCCTAAAAGGCAGACAGATTTTTCCAGTTTTGATAGTGGAATCGTGAGCAAATCATGAGCAAATCATGATCCAGCACTGTCCCCACCCAGACAGCAGGTGCACAAGTTGAAAGAGCCCATATTCCTTTAGATTAGGTATATTCACCACTTCTTAATAATTTATAAGTCACTTAGCTTTCCAATTACAGTCATGCTAGTCATAAAGGAAAGGAGAGTTTGTTAGAGATGGCAAAATACAGAGAAGCATATTATAAATTACTCCGGGAAAAGGCTTTGATGCCCAGTTTTGGGGGGCTTGGTAGATACCATTCCTCATAAGTCCACTTTTGCAGAAATTAAAGGAATTTACTTATTTTAATAGAGGATATAGGTTTCTATTCATCAGAAAGCATTCTTTCCTAGCTAGAGGGCATAATCACCGCTCACATTTAGACAATATACATTTAATTATTTTTATTGGCTAATAGAGTCTCTATCAACATGGAAAGAAAGCACACTTTCAGAACTATCATCAGAAATTAGCATGCTCACAACAAACAGTTCAGCCCTGTGAGATAAACCACTGTATGGGATGGCATCTTAAAGGCTGGGGATGGGGATGTCCTGAACGAAGCTTTGACCACTGGAATGAAAACAAAACAAAACAAAGAAAATCCTGAAGTCCCTCTGTTCCTTCCCTGCTCATCTTCTTTTTCTTTTTCTTTTTTTTTTGACTGTGATTTTTTTTTAATTTTTTTTTTTTTTTTAAAGATACTTTTATACATTGCCCTTTTTGTATGCAGACAATCATTCATCTCCTTCTAAGCTTTTGAAAGCCAGCATCTTCATGGATCACCTTATGCAGGGACTTCAATTTTAGTTTGCCTTGAAACCTTTCATTAAAGCAGCACACTTTAAAACTGCCTCTCTTTTCTGGTGCCTACTCATGGCATTAGAAATCTCCACACACCATCTTGTCCTGTCTCAGATGTCTGAAGTCCCAGTGTCACAGACTATATAAGTCTCACCATAATAGGTCTCTATAATAAATGAACAGAAGCAGACACCTGAGGGCCATTTGTTTGATCTCACATCTGCATCTCAAAGAGTTGGATAGTCCCCCTAACTCCCCTGGTGCCCCCTTACCCTTCACAGGAAACAAACATGCAAGGGTGCAACCTCAGATTTCTGAGGATGCTTGAGTCAAGGCAGATAACGCCTGATTTAATTCTCTCTCAAAAAACCTGACATTTAGGGACCCATAGATTGAAACCCACTGCCGTAGCGTAACTGAAAACTACACAGGGTGAATGCTGATACCACTGTAGGAATTGACATTTTGGCTGGGAAAGGCACTTCTGCTAATGAACAACACAATTTCAACTGCAACAGCAGAAGGATGGCAATACTGGCATTCACCTTGCATGCGGGCAGCTCATTCTGCAGTCTCTGCCACCCTACCTGTTTTGTTAGCATGACCTGTTGCAGAAAGGAAGAAAGTCTGCAAATACATCCATGCGGAAGCCTTACTTCAAAAACAGTGCCTATTAAGTGCCAGGTACGACCTGTTTCACATTCCATCCTCTTGCAAATACAACCATCCATCAAGCTTGTCTTTTCCCTGCAAGCTTCTCTGAGGGAGAGGCAGAAACACAGATGCTGCAGGGTGACTTTCCTCAAGCTCCAGCTTCTTCCTGTCTCTTTGCCTTTCCCAGCTCTGCCCAGGAGAGGAGTTCAGTGCTGTCCAATCTGAGAGCACCAATGAAAGCTGGGCTTGTGTGTGCAGGGTGTATCAGGAGCTTTCCCCTGAAAAATGTCTGGGGTAGTAACATGAGGTTGCAGCAGCCCAAGAAAGTTGACATCAAGAGTGAAACAATGCAAGAACAGCATTGGGAAAGCTTGTCATGGGCATGGATGCCTCCTGCAGAGGACCTGCTCCATGGTCCTGCAGGGAAATGCCCACCTGGTGCTGAAGGGTTACACACATTTCTGTTTTTTCTACAGTGGAGGCCAAATGGCTGCTGGCCCAACCCCAGGTGGTGGAGCTCCCTCCCTGTGCCCAGAAGCAACTGCTATTTGTCTGTCAGCTCTGGAAAGTTCAGGGGAATGTGTGTGCTGGGGAGGCTGACAGCCCCTCTGAGGCATGTCCTCAGCTGCTCTGCACACCACCGAAACAGAGGAGATGAAGGGA